TAGTCCATTTTGCTGAAATTTCATTGCAGCAACTCAAAATGGTACTCAGTAGTTTGTATAAGTTTGTATAGTAGTTTGTATTTGTACAACGTCGGGGCATGCTCCTAATGAGACGACAGATGGTGTATCTCCAGACCCTTTCACATCTGTCACATGTGCTCAGAGTGAACCTGCTCTCATCTGTGAAAAGGACAGACCTGCCAATTCTGGTGTTCAATGGCAAATCATCAGGACATCGGGCCCTCAGGCCACCCTCATGAAGTCTGTTTCTGATTGTTTGGTCAGAGACATTCACACCAGTGGCCTGCTGGAGGTCATTTTGCAGGGCTCTGGCAGTACTCCTCCTGTTCCTCCTTGCACAAAGGAGCAGATAGCGGTCCTGCTGATGGGTTAAGGACCTTCTACGGCCCTGTCCAGCTTTTCTAGAGTAACTGCCTCTCTCCTGGAATCTCCTCCATGCTCTTGAGACTGTGCTGGGAGACACAGCAAACCTTCTGGCAATGACACGTATTGATGTGCCATCCTGGAGGAGTTGGACTGCCTGTGCCGAGGGCCAGTCCCTGTCGCTGAAGTCATCCCCCTGTGGCTTTTACATCTGCTCCGGTGTGGCCAGAACCAACATATTGGCCGCAGAACTACCACCAGCAGGAAGGCGATGCAGCCTGTCCCTTATGCAGTCGATATGCTCTAATAACAGCTCACCCTCCCAGGAGAAAAGGAGACTGGTGGTCCAGCTGATTTGAAGTCAACTCAGTGATCTGTTTTGCTTCCCATGAGGAGTTGTACTTCCCATGAGTCCTCCCACTTGTGATTTCTTTTCTGCAAGAGAGTCTGAAGCGGAGACGGTCCCCTCCACCTTGAAAGTGTACATGTTGCTGCTATTGCAACACATCACAATGGCGTAGATGACCGGTCTATGGGAAACACGACCTGATCATTAGGTTCTTGAGAGACATAAGGAGGAAGACTGCACCTTGTCCTCTCATGGGATCTCTCAGTGGTCCTTTCTGGACCTCTAGTGTCAGTCAAGTTTAAGATATTGTCTCTGAAGACAGCGCTCCAGACCCCACTCACTTCCATCAAGAGGGTGGGGAGATGTTACATCCCTCTTGCCACAACCTTGAACTACACAGCTGAATGGCTGGAACACAGTCTTGGCTCCTCAGCGTAAACTTGATTGAGTGGATGCACACTGTCGTTTTATATATTCGTTTGCATGCCACTAGGCATGCAAAATCCACTCACCAATATTCATTGGCCTGTTTTTTTACTACTCAGATGTGATTGGGCTCTCAAGTAAGACCCCTAATGTCAGTGTTGACATAACGTCTCTGTTCCCTCCTTCAGGGAGGCGTTCATTTACATTTTATATAAATGTATTTATATAAATTGTTTATACATTTAAATTTTAAATGTAATAATAACTAATTACTTTGTATACATTTTATTTATAAATTTGCATATGTATTTTTTTAATTTTATATTTTAAAATAATAAAATAATAATAAAAAACTGTTTTTTTGGGGGTGAAATATGACATTGACATTGTGGTTTGTTCAGAATGGTGAACAGCGGTCGCACCATCATCCTGTCCATCCATCAGCCGCGGTACTCTATCTACCGTTTGTGTGACTGATTATAAATGTGTTTGCGTGTGTCAGAACTGGACGAGGAGCAGCTGAGTTCGTCTCTGAAGGGCATCGAGGACCGTTTGGTGGAAGAATACAAGAACAGCACCAGCTACAAACAGACCAAAAGCGAGCTGGAGCGAATCGTTCAGGGACAGGAGTACAGCACACGACCCAAATCCAGAACCATCACCTACAGCACGTCCTCCTGCCACCAGTTCAACTGGGTCCTCAGGAGAACCTTCAGGAACCTAATGCTGAACCCACAGACCTCATTCGCTCAGGTCAGCACCACCGTCTACATGAGGCATTCACAGACTTTGAGCTGAAATAATAGTTTTTATGATAGTATTTAAATAATTCAGCTACACATAACAGTACTGTTATTTTAGAATCACTGAGATACTATTATCCAAGCGCCAAAGGTGTAATCATTGGTGCTCCTCCTCCTCCTCTTCTTCTTCTTCTTTCTTCTGCTCTGGAAGTCTATGGCTGCATCCAAAAACTCTAAAATTCTGCCTTCGGAGGCAGCATTCCAAGGCAGGAAGGCATCAAGGCACGTCCGAATACAAATTCTGCTTTACTTCCCGTCTCCGGAGGTACCTTCTTCTGATCGAATTTTGAAGGCAGCATAGATGTATCCTTCGCTGCCTTTGATATCCCACAATCCTGTGCGCTCCATTCCGTGACGGTTGAGCTAAAAAATAAAGATGGCGTCTGAAAGTTGTTTGTGTGTAAATATATATTTCTGACTAACTTTTTGCACTTTTGATGTTATTTCTAGCGAGAAATCAGTATTATAGTAAATAAATATTCGTTTAGTTATCACCAAAATTCATTCTATTTTGTTGTAGATCATTAAACCGTTACGCTGAGCGGGAAATCAGTATTATAATAATTTAATATTTGTTTAGTTATCACAAAAACTCGTTCAATTTTGTTGTAGATCATTAAACCATTAAGCTGCCTCAGAAGCTTATCCGAAAACATTTTCGTGAGGTGCCTTCGTGCAAAAACGCTGCCTGCAAAGTCATTGCCTCATAAGGCAGCAAGTCAGCTGCCTAGGCTTTCGGACACAGCCTATGGTAGCCCATAGAACTGCTTGCGGGAAAGTTATGAAATTTGGCACACAGATAGAGGACAGTCTCAAAATTAACCATAGCTAGTTTTGAGTGTGTAACTCAATCCCTCTAGCGCCACCAACAGTTCAAATTTGCACTCAGTTTATGCTAATAACTTTTGAACTGTAAATTTTAGGAGCAATGTTTTCCTCTGATTCCTTGGCCCACGTAGAGTGAAATGGTCACCAAAATTGTAAAAATGTACAGGTCAAGATTTTTTGGCAATTTTTTATTAAAAACCTATTTTTTAATATTTTTATTAGATGGTTTGTCTGATTTTCACCAAAATTGGCTCCGATCATCTTCAGACCATGCTGGCAAAAAGTTATAGAATTCAAGTTTATTAGGCAAACCGTTCTCAAATAACACGTGTACGAATTTGACGAAGAGTACACCAAAACAGACGAGAGGCTATATATCTGCAGCGCTTTAATGTATTCAAACCAAACTTGGTGTGTGTTATAAGAGCCATAGTCACACCACATCAATTTGACAACAGCGCCACCTATGACTATTAACTATTAATATGAAGCCATTAACCATTAATAATAATGAAATGTCAAGAAATAGCTTATAAAAAGTTTTTCTTCTTATAAGACTGGTCTTGTTAGATTCCTTGAATTATGCAGAGAACATTTACTGTATATCAATTATGCCATAATCAGCTGAACTGTTCAATTAATTTAATATATTTGAGATGATTTTGCTGGTGTTTTAAAGTAAAACAGTAAATATATTGAAATTATTTAATGTACTTTTATTTTTGTCATTAAATGTCATAAAATGTATGTATATATATATATATGTGTGTGTGTGTGTGTGTGTGTGTGTGTGTGTATATATGTTTAAAGAATGTATATATTTATATATTAGAGTATTGAAATAAAGATGAAGTTTTACATGTAAGCTGATATTTCTATATTTATCGGAGTGTTTTTTCTACAGATGGGGGTGATGATTTTACTGGCTCTGGTTGTTGGAGCCATATTTTTTGGAGTGAAGAAGAATTCGAGCGGCATTCAGAACAGGTATGAAAACGCAGTATTTCTGTGAGAAGAATCATTTCTGCTTGAATTAGAATTGATTCAGTGTTCAGATCTGATGAACAGAAGCTGCATCTCTTTAGCCGTAGTGTTTTCAAATATAATTTACTGAATAATACTTTGGTGCAACTTTGTGCATGTGTAATATATTTTGTAAAACTCCCTTTGGCTGTCCACTAACAGTGTATGTGTGTTTCAGGATGGGCGCGCTCTTCTTCATCACCACCAATCAGTGCTTTAGTTCTATTTCCTCAGCTGAACTCTTCATCACTGAGAGGAAACTATTTGTGTGAGTACACACACACACACACACACACACACACACACACGAGTTCAAAAACTGGTTCTTCCTTTGAAAAAAATACTGAATGATTTTCATGATGTTTGGTTTAAAGTGCCCCTATTATGGATTTTTGAAAATGACCTTTCATGCAGTGTGGAACACAGCTCTAAGTGAATGAAAACATCCTGCAAAGTTTTAAATCTGAAAGTGCTCTGAAAGTGCACGTGTATAAAGTTATTGTCTCTCAAAAGAAAGAGTCGACTCTGAATCATTGAAACGAGTCGTTTTTAAAACGAATCCCAAGTCGTTTCATGTTGACGTCAACATGACGTCAAGCTTCCCTTCTATGTACTATTTCTAATCCATTTAAACTCAATCAAACTCATCTAATATTTCTAATCTATCTATCCTAGAGACATGCTAATCATGTTAAAAACATACTAACATGCTAGTAGCATGCTAATAATGCTAGCAACATGCTAGTAACATGCTAATAATGCTAGAAACATGCTATCGACATGCTAGTAACTTGCTAATCATGCTAGCAACATGCTAGTAACATGCAAATAATGCTAGCAACATGCTAGTAACATGCTAATCAGGTTAGAAACATGCTAGTAACTTGTTAATTATGCTAGAAAAATGCTAGTCACTTGCTATCATGCTAGCAACATGCTAGTAGTGTGCTAATCATGTTAGCAATGTGCTAATAACATGCTAATCATGTTAGAAACATGGTAGTGACATGCTAGTTACTTGCTAATCATGCTAATAAAATGATAATCATGTTAGAAACATGCTAGCTACATGCTAGTAACGTGCTAATGCATCTAAATTTTCAAACTTCAGGCTTTTACAACTGCTTTAAACTTTCAGGCTAGGCTTTCTCAAGCCAACCTAAAGTTTGTCTTGACTAACTTTTTTATCTAGTTTATTTTGTAATGCTTAATTACAACAATCAGTTTGAAATAACCTATTGAAATCATAGAACATTTTACCTTTGGGGATTTAAGACAAGTTGGAGGTAATCTTAATTTGTTTTGTTCTAACGTAAGAAAAGAAAATATGAGTTAAACATAATTTTATGTTAAGATTGTCTTGTGAATGTGATTAGTGATATTTTATGTGCAGTTAACGTTGTGATTGTAATTTGATTGATTGATTGATTGATTGATGATGTTGTTATGGTGGGCGTGTCCTCAGGCACGAGTACATCAGCGGATACTACAGAGTCTCGGTGTACTTCTTGTCTAAGATCCTGTCTGACGTCCTGACTCTGCGCACCATCCCGGCCATCATCTTCAGCTGCGTGGTGTACTGGATGATCGGTCAGACACACATTGCCATCGTTCATGATTGTCTGATATGAAACATGCAGTCTGATGTGTTTGTGTTTCCTGTGCAGGTCTGAAGTCAACGGCCGAGGCCTTCTTCATCTTCCTGTTCTCTATCGTTCTGGTGTCGTACACAGCCACGTCCATGACTCTGGCCATCTCCGCTGATCAGACGGTGGTGGCCATCGCTAACATCGTCATTAACATGATATTTGTGTTCATGATGGTAAAGAAACACACACACACAAAACACTATTTTACATGAGGCTGTGAGTGTACCATGGTTAAGGGTTATCATCAGTATTTGCAATAATTAATGTAATTATTTTTACATAGAGAGCAGTTGTTATATTTGTTATCTGTTCAAGCAACCCAGTGTAGATTAGAGTGAAATTAATTAAAGGGGGTCATATGATGTGATTTCAAGTTTTCCTTTCTCTGGTTAGACCCTGCTCCGGAGTAGGAGCTAATTTGGTTCTCGAAAAAGGCAGTCCGGTACTAAAATCGCACCCAGTTCCGGCGGTGCGAAAACGCCAAAAAGTGGGTAGTTCCACAATTAGTTCTGGTACTATGAAAAGGTTCCCGCGGTGCGAAAGGCCCTTATCACTCAGACTAGAGCCTCCTCTACTAGGCAGGCCTATGCTCTGAAGTGGAGTCTGTTTGTTGATTGGTGTGCTTCTTGTTGAGAGGACCCCCAAAGATGCCTGGTCAGTGCTGTGCTTTCCTTCCTGCAAGAAAAGTCGGAGCAGAGGCTGTCCTCCTCCACTTTGAAAGTGTATGTCTCGGCCATTGTGGCAAATTCCAGTGCAGTGGATGGAAGATCCTTGGGGGGAAGCATGACCTGATGATCATGTTGTGTGAGATTAAATCCCACCAGATTGTGCCTCATGGTTTTTGCAGGACTACAGCGAACCCTCCTTTGAGCAGTTTGACTCAATCAAGGTCAAGTTCCTGTCATTTAAGACAGTGCTCCTGGTTGTGCTCACATCCATCAAGAGGGTTGGGGAGCTTCAGGTATTGGCTGACTGGCATGTTTTACATTCATATATGGATGTGTGTGCACACCCCAGTGATTGCTCAATCAAGTATTGTGAGAATGTTGGGACACCTTTTTTGGCTTCCTAGTAAGCCCCTTGTAATTTGTATTCCCTGAAGGAGGAAATAGAAATGTTATTTCCCTCATGCAAGGGTGCAGAACAAGGGTTACATTATGTAACCAAGATGTGTTCATTGCAGAGAGGTGAAAACAGAGTACTCCGACATTTATGAATGAAAATATTGGCTCAGTGGTAGAGCATTGCGTTAGCAGCACAAAAGGTTGTGGGTTCGATTCCCAGGGAACACACATACTGGTAAAAAAAAAACGTATAGCCTGAATGCACTGTAAGTCGCTTTGGATAACAGCGTCTGCTAAATGCATAAATAAAATTAATTAAATTATTTAAATCTGTGTAAATATGTACATGTGTGTAGTTATATACAGTATATCTATATAAATAATTGTGTAATTATAACAGTAAAGGACAGTTGTATTATGTAGTGTTCTAAATGTGTCATTCAATGTGTTTGCATAGTTTGGGTGTATAATCATGGTGACATAAAAAGTGTTAGCTGTAATATTTAGTCTTATTTCTCCGTGTGTTCAGATCTTCTCGGGGCTGCTGGTGAACCTCCCCAGTGTGGCTGACTGGTTGAACTGGTTGAAGTATCTCAGTATTCCTCATTACGGTCTTGTTGTGGGTGTTAAAGTGTCCATGTTCTCCTGGAGTGTTTGATTTGCATGAAATGTAGAAAGTTTTGTATGTATATAGAAGTGTAGTGTACATGAATGTGGGTGGCAGTTGTAGTTATGTTAAGACAGTAGGTAAAAGCTGAGAAACATTTGTGTAGGTTTAGTATATTTTTTGTTATTAGTAAATTAATTTTAGGTTTATTGTTTTAGTGAACGATAATGCGTAGTTGTGGCTGATGTTGATGATGAATGTGTTTGCAGGCTGTGGAAATCAATGAGTTCATTGGCCTCACCCTGTGTGACATGAGGAACACAAGTGGCCTAGAAATACAAGTGTGAGTATGTAGCTGCATATGAGTAGCATTTGTTACTTGAAATACATACTGCAGAAAGTGTGTTTGAGAAATGACAATGCGAGAGACTGGTGTTACTTGAAAAGAGCAATGTGAATATAAAAAGAAGGGCATCTGAGGGCGGCAGTTTCATTTGTATTTCAGCTTTACTTAAGTATATTTGCAAGTCTGTATGTAGACATGTAAAAAGACAAATGCACAGAAAATTGTGAGAACAGAGTAAAAAGAACGTGAAAGCAGAGAAGCTAAGAATGGAACGGAAAAGAAAATCGGAGCCAGAACTCGTATAAAGTGTGTCAATGCTACTAAAATAAGTGAGGCAATGAAACTCACTTGAGCGGCTAATCAAGGCCTTCATTTATGAGCGGGAAACAATAGCTGCATAGGAAGGCCAGGTGTGTGTTAGAGTAGGTTTGTGTGAAGTGCATGAGTTTCCAAGGCTGTAATGAGAAAAAGATGTGGCAAGAAAGCAAATGTGTCCAAGACGTCCAAGCATCAAAGGATTACATGTGCATTGTTGTTGTGGGAGAACAGCATAGCTGTAGAGCCTTTTCTGAAGTGCAGCATGAATGAAGCATCAGAGAGAAACTTGGTGTTAGTGAAGAAGCAAGACTGAAAGGAAGAAGGGGAAAGTAGAGAGAGCAGACTCACAGAGATGTTGCTCGGTAGAGTCGCAGGTCTTTACACTCGTAGGTCTTCCCACAAGGGCTGCCGCTCCAGCCACTATGCCTTCTGAAATACTGCTTCTCTCAAGCATCACAGCTGCAACACCTCGTCAATCACATTCCCACAGCCAATACGAGCCCTCTATCAATATCAGCTACAGCTGCTCCATTGCATTTGCACTATCACTCACTTTAGAGGCCAAAACAAGCTCATTCCACTACATTCCACCATGCAATCCTACTACATGCTTCTGCAATTGAGTATATACACACACGTAACTACTTTTGATCATGTTCTCATCATTTCTCATTGCAGCTGTTCAACAGGCAAGGACTTTCTGAGCGAACAGGGCATCGACTACTCAACTTGGGGTTTGTGGCAGAATCATTTGGCTCTGGGAATCATGACTCTCATCTTCCTCATCATCGCTTACCTCAAGCTGCGCTTTATCAAGAAATTCACCTAAACACAGGCTCATGCTCTTCCAAATCTCAAAGTCAAAGTACTATCAAACAACAAATATTATTACATTATCATTTCACATATATTCAGAGCAAACATTTAGCCATAACAACTACAACAACAAACGCAACTATTATTAGTATTAGTGGTCGACCAATATATCGCCAAGACCGATATATCGGCTGATATTTGGCAAATATCGGCATCGGCTGATAAGTTTTTCTGTTTGGCCAATGCGTTCATGGCGGGACTTTGATTTTGACTGCGCTGAGAGCGGCAGCGCCTGAACACACAGTGCTCACATTGTCCCTCTTGTTCGCTGTCCTCGTTAACAGTTCTGTCCACAGACAGAAGTCTGTCTCATAATCAGATAGAACTGTTAAACAAAGGAATTAAAATGTATACAAAAAGTATTATAATGATTGCTTTTATATTGTTAGTAAGGCAAACATTATAATAATAATTTCTCATTTGCCGTCAGCATTCAGCAAATACGCATTTATATAATTTAAACAAATCTTTGAATGACTAATGAACATCTATGAAGGTAGAATGATGTCAAAAAGATTTGCATATTGATTACTTTCCTGTGACTGATCAAGCTATTATATGAAGCAAGAATGAGTAACAAAATGCTTTCTTTGTGTCCAGATTTGACTAATGCAAAAACTGATAAATATGTCTTTAATAATGTCTAAAAATATATCCAAATACAAGTAACTATGTGAAAATCCAAAGTTCCCAGCCACTATAGGGAACACAGTCATGTTTATATAGAGAGAGCCAAACAGCCATCTAGTGGTTACACGATAGTGTTACAGATGATAAATGGTGAATAAGTTAGAGATAAATATTTTAGTAATATTTTGTAAAATCC